CCTACACGCAGTTCCAGAATCTTGTACACCCATGACCCCAAAAAGCGTGTTCTTGGTCAATCGTTCTCCCTTACGACATACATCCCCCTCACCCTAGAGGAGCTAGCAAAAATCAGTCGCACAAGACTAAAGAAAATGAAAATGCCTACGACAAGATCTCCAACTACATCTCTCACCAGCTACGCCCTCCAAAATGCCTGCAATATAGCGGTTCCAACTCCATAGCTCACCCCCCAAAATCCCTGCACAAAAGCGGGCCAACGCCATCTCTCACCCGCTGAGCCCCCCGACGGCGTGTAACAGTCCTTGGAATCGTTCCCAGACCGGTCCGACGACCTTCTCGAAGCCCTCTTTCGCCGAGGCCCCCTCCGACGGCAACGCCGCACGATTTAGAACTCCCTCGCACAGTCTTTGCACCAGCAGCCCCTTGCTCATTGCAGGCGGTAAGGTGGGGCGGGGGTGGGGCACGAGCATGCATCCATGCATGCACGCGGCCACCAATCAACACAAGCAGCAAAATCAATGCTCGCCTGTGTGTAGTGTGGGAAGGGCGGGACACGTGCATGTACGCATGCATGCATGCGCGCGGGTACACCAAGACAAGCGGCAAAATCAACGCTCGTCCGTGCCGTGCGGACAAGTAGCAAATAAGAGCTGCAGAGCCAACCCCCGAGGGTTTCTCTACACGGTTGGGAGAAACCTTGCGGAAGCCAGTTCCTCATTATAAATCACAACCAACGAACGTCGACGAAACAACATCATCTCCGACAATAACACTTGCCAGACAGTCATCGCGGTCAACGCTCATAAACGCGAACGCACACAAATCACATACCTGCAAATCCACCGACAATCGGCGGAACCCCTGATCTCGCCCTGCCCCCCCCGCTCCCGCGCCGGCGCCGGCGCCGGCGGCCTGTCGACCCCCGTCGTACGCCGCAACGATCCCCCACCATAGCGGAAGGTTAGTCGTCGAGGGTGCTTTCGTTCTCGACACAAGCACCCCCATCAAGTCGCTTTGCGTGAGGAGGGTTCCGCAGAGGGCGACAGGCCAAGGCGAGTAAGGTTAGGGGTCGAAACAGCGGGACAGCTTAGGGGGTGGCGGAAGCGTAGAGGGCAGTAATGGTGATGAGCGGGGAGGAGGGGGGAGCTCAAGCCGTTACCACCACGTGCACAATAGCAACACATTTCACAGAAGCAGAGCCCGTCAATGAGTGAAGGGGGG